TGGGGAAGAATTGAGGTTGAGTTATGATAACCTGGAATATTAGAGATATTATAATCAGCATTATTCAAAAAGCTTGGTAATTATGCAGCTTCACCACAAGGGTCACTCTTGGTTTTTTTGGTTTTTAGTCCCTCTGGAGTTTGTCAGTCTGATTAAATTCCCTTGTTTCTGAAGATTAGTTTTTTTTTTTTTTTGTATATGTTGAGTTATGATTATGGTTAGAGCAACATGGAGGAGTTATTATGAGATTTTATTTTTCCTTTGAGGGAAATATAAGCTAAGTACAGCTTACAGTTTTTTGGTTTTTGTCTGTAATTATTTCACGGAAAGACCTGTACTCAGTCATAAGCAAGGAGGATTGAATGACCTCTTTGCTTTTTTCAACTTTAGAGTAACAGGGTGCTGAATAAATCATGTTTTTTAAACGTAGTTGAAGAAACACTGCAGAAATATAGAAAGTATCTTCAAATAGATATGTGTTAACTCAATGTCGCCAGGAAAATTTTGTTCTCTATGGTATTGTTTTGTGATGTGTCTCTGCACATAGATGGTTCCAGAAGCACTTAGCCTTAACCCAATGGTGCCGGGTGTACAAAACAAAAAAAAAAACTCTACGCTTAAGCAAACAAAGGCGGCGTGCCGACTTTGAGCGTGTGAGTAGGGGACATCAGCCCGAATCACTGGCTCGCCGCGCTTTGGCGCGCCGCCGGCTCGTTCGGCTGCACGCCAGCTTTCGAGCGCTTTGTTTACACGCCGATCGGCGTCACCCGGCACCAAGGGGTTAAGAGAATCAATTAGCAAACCTTGTGACTTCGCCTAGTTTCACCTTTCCTTGAGTTTGCAGAAAAAACTCATATTTAGCTCATTGTGATATAGTGCTTGTGGAGCCATCTTTATTAACCTGTTACTGCTAGGTCACGTGTATAGCTTTCATAACAAACCACTTGATCTGCTGGGTATCGCTATTTACTACGACGATGCGCTTGAGTGTCTTGAGTTGGAAGTTCCGCTACATGTAGCGGACTCCCTCACTCAGCGGCAGACAGTTGCCACAAATCACTGGAGTCTACGATGCCAATTTATAATACTGCCCCAGAGGGATGAAACTCACACTGGGTATGGCATGCACATACTGTACATGCAATCCCCAGCGACATTGGGTTAACCCCATACCACCGAGTTATGCCTTCTGGCATCATAACAAACCACTCAATCTTTGGAGCTGCCACCTCTTTTCCTCCCCCTTCCTTCTCTTTCCCTGCCATCTCCTCTTTTCCTCCTTCATTTGTCTAACTTAAAAAGAAGAATGAAAAAAAGTTATTGCAGGACCCCCAAAAGTGGACATTCCCTTCTAAAGTTCTAGAATAAAAGCAAATGATTGGGTGAAATTAAAAGTATCTTCACTTCTCTAGTATCTCTCCTTTCATTGCACAATTCTGATATTAATATCCCCCACACACACTTTTTTTCCACAAACTTGATATAATGATTATTTCTTTGGCATTCAGTACTGTAGGGCTGCTTTTTGTGTGTGCATGTGTGAGAATGATGGATCAAGACCTCTGAAATGCATAATAATTCATCACTCATCTTCCTTACCATCTACATACAATCACTGTTGATATCTATTGGCAGTCAGTATATGTGAAGAAACAAGAAGCAGTAAATAATCAGAAACAGATAAGGTGTATTCATACTTTTATTATATGTACAATCCTGAAGCTAATTTGGGGTCACAAACATCATATATTGCAGAAAATTCATATTTTGTTTGCATGTTGAAAAGATTTTGGGAGGATTGTTGAAGAGCAATGTGTATGCAAGTTTAAGTATACATATATTTTTTAAGATGTACATAAAATAAAACAAGTAGATTAATAAAAACTACTTTTCTAAACTACTTGCATAGGAATACGTGAAGCTGATCTATTCTATAGGAAAAAGACCCATCTGAGGTGGTAAGCATGTCTCACCATGCCAATCCTGCTGAGCATCTGAAAATAAAATGTTCAGGGTCACATAAAAAAAAAGTATTGGAGACATGAATGTAAATCAGTAATTTTTCTGTCATTTCTTCTATTTCCCCCTCTCCCCCACTTTTTTTTTTTTTTTTTAAAGAACTTAAGGTTGATATTACACTATTTTCAATCTGATTTGCAGAGACTTCTAGGAAAAGACATGTCCCTCTTCTACCTTCAAATGGAATACCACTGGAGCAAAGAGGACGGCTGCTTTGAAAAACTGACGCCGTCGGAAACCACTCCTAACAAGGCCGGAACCAAAAGGAAGTTGGCAGACCGTGATGACATGGACGAAGATGAGGATGAAGAGGAGAATGATGATGATGATGACGAAGAGGAGGAGGAGGAGGAGGAAGGAGATGAAGAAGACGATAGTTAATTTGTTTATTATTATTTTTTAATACATTTATTTTAATGTATTTCTTGATGTGACTTAGAATTGTATTTTGGTAAATACAAAAATATGTTAAGCAAAAAAAGATTGATTTTCTTTCATTCTTTTACAAATTCATGTTTTTTGGACAGTTGGATAAGGGTCTTATTCACAATTGGAAGATGTTAGTGATCTTGAACTTTATGAATAGTAGCAAAATTCAACACTAATATACCTTTGAATTATAAACAGGGTATTTTAAAAAACAAAAATAATTGAATATATGTACCATGTGCAGAAAAAGCAACACAATTCACTTGAAAAAAAAAAGAACCACAAAAAAAATGTGTGCAGTAAATTAACAATAATGTATAGGCAGAAAGATAGTCATTTAACCCACCATTCCAAGATTGCAAGATATAAATGCAATGTCCTCTGTGATTTTAATTTATTAATTATGTTTACACAGAGATGGCTCCACAAGTGTTTAGTAAGCAAGTAGTAAAGTACAAGGCCTACTTATCTCGTATTTACCCTTTTCCTAGATTTTATGAAAGACTTATTTTTTACTTATTGTTATTTGATATTTTCATAATATTAAGTTAATCATAACATTGATAGCATTAGAATATTCAAGGGAAACCAAGTGAAGTCATGCAGGACCCACTGGTTAACCCATTGCCGCCAGGGAAAATGAAAAAAAAATGGGGAGAATGCAGTACTCATTTTTTATATTTTTGTGAAATATGTCTGTCCATAGATGGCTCAGCAAGTCCTGATTTCACTTTTCCTTAAATTGGCGGGAAAAAACGTATTCTTACTAGTGCTATAAATGTAGATGGTGTTATTTTTAACAGCAAATTAGGATACCGTTAAATATTTTCGTAAATCAAAGAAAAGGGTGAACAGGCGAGACAGGCAGTACTCGTAATTGGCTCATTGGATACTTAGCACAAGTGTAGCCATCTATGTGTAAAAACAATCGAACAAGTCGACCCACAGTGGGCATGGCATGTACGTACATGCCATCCCCGGCAGCAATGGGTTAATGGAACGCTTGTTAGCTGAGTACTTACGGATGCAACAAAATCCTAAAAATGTACCTACGGTCAGTGGATTAATACAGAAAATCTTTGAAATTATATTTGTATCTGTTTTGATCTAGATATTCAGTATATTTTTTTTGCTTGACTTTATAATTCCAGTACGTGTGAAAATCTAATTTTTACCTGCAGTGTGAGGGGGCACAGGTCAGGAAATGATTGGTGTATTTCTGCATCATAAATCACAAAGTTGTTATCCATAAACTCTGAATATGAGCCTTTTTTTGAAGGGGACTGACTACACTTTGTTAATAGAGATAATGATTAGAAAATAAAAATACCCTAAAATGAAAGGCAATAGCAATACGTAAATGATGAACAGTAATAAAGAGTCCCAAGTTATTATTTTTGTAGAAACCAGAATTAGGGCTCATTTTGAAGGAGCAGAGTTGCATGTTGTATTGTTAGAAAAAAAAATGTATTTAAGGAAATAAAAGGAGTTGGAGCTTACAAAAAATATACTGTTCATGTAAATAGATTTGTCAAGAACAGATATTTTTTTAGATATAATTTAGATTTTGCTGAAAAGGGAAAAGATTATACAATGATGATAATAGAAAAAAATACATATGTGGAAAGGTAATGCAAAAGCAATTAGTTGGAGCTAGCCTTTAAACAAAATTTTCACACCCCTTCATATAGAATAGTTTGTCAGGAAAATACTATTTGAAAATAAAATTTAGCCCCTAGTCCTTTGCCTGTTGTTGTGGGGGCTTAGGTGATGGGGACTAAGGCCTATTGTAGGGGATCGGCCCTACCTTGGCCCTCAGCCCTCACTTCAACTAATTTTGCATGGTCTTTTCTTCTCCTTTCCTTTTCCTTTTCTTCTTTCTCTTTCTTTTCTCCCTTCTTTTGTCCACTTATCCTAAGTTAACTGTTTTTTACCCTTTTTGTAACAATAATTTTTCATAGTTCTATATGACCTTTTATGTCTAACACATTTGTCTTATTTGTCATTAACCATTAATATAAAATTTAGAATGTGTTTTGAAAACACAATAAGGAGAATGAATTAATAGTTTTTTTGTGGTTCAGTGAATGTGTTTTGTATACTTAATATTATTTGTAGAAGGCAAAGATTTGTTTTATCTTGAATGTGGAGGACTATTTATCTGCATACCCCCCCCTCCCCATCCCTTGCTCATTGTTGCCATGGGGGGGGGGAGGGAGGCTTAGGAGACAGAGACACAGGCCCAGTGTAGAGATCACTCCAACCATGGACTTTGGCCCTTGCCTTATCTAGTTTTACAGGGTCTTTTCTTCTCACCCCTTGGCCTTTCTTTTCTCTTCTTCATTCCCTTCTTCTGTCCACTTATCCAAATTGTTAACTCGTATTTACCCTTTTTGCCACAATACTTTACCATAATGCTGTGTGATTTTTGTTGTGTGGTACATCTGTTTTTTTTTTTTGGAAATTACAGAACTAAAAATTTTTCTTACCAAGCCCCATCCTATTACCATGTTTTGAATACATCACTAATGACCTTTGATGTTTATTTGGCAGAAAATTTTCAATAGATAGATAAATTACCTAGCATACCAATAGGCAGTGAAAAGATGAGTCTATATTATTATAATATACGTTATGGGAACTGAAAAAAATCTTTGACTTAATTTAGAACAGTTTTCAAAAAAAGAGATTATAGCTTTGTCCACTGGGACAATGACCTCTGTTAATTAAGGCATTTCAAACCATAGGACATGTACAGGTCCCAGTATTTTTTATGCTGCAAAAAGTCTGCAATTCTAAGCTCATTCATAAAGTATTGAATGACAGAATAGGCTTTTTTTTACATATACAGTAGATAACGTGGAAAGCAAAGAAGGATTAAATTAATTCTATTTTTGAAATGGATCAGATGAAATACATCTGGGATATTGCATTATGCACCTTGTGTTTTATTGCCATTGGTCATTATGAAAATCCTTCATTTATATCACAGTACAGATTATGGGGCTCTTCAGTAGTTTGTGGTCAGATTATGCCCTTGCTTGACAGTCACAGTTAGAGAGGGTCTAGAGTACTAAGAGTCTATTTCTTTCAATTTTATAAGGAGAAGCCAAGGATTGTTATGACTCTACTTCTGTACTCATCCCAACTTATGATAGTTAGGCTTGAACTTGAGACAGGCAATGAGTACATGAGTCTGACTTTGGTAAACACTGAAGAAAATAGACTGAATGATTTTGGAGGCTGATATATATATAATATCCAGGTGGACACATTGCTAACATCATTGATGGAATGGGTAATAATATTTCAAATACAGTTGGACAAAGGCTGTTGCTGGGGTACATTATTATAGAGCATAGAGGTGTATTTAGTTTAATAACAAGTTGCATTGCAGTGGATGTAGGTGTAACTGGATATAAATTTATCTTGACTTAAATCACTGATATATTTGGTACACTTCAAATGGAAATTGATTTCTTCCGCTATATCCTTGTTAGACAGATGAGTGATTCGTTTCTCATCTATTATCCAGTGTCATAATCCTTCAGTCTCACCATCGTATGGGATTCTTTCACTCACTCATTTATCTATTCTCTAAATCAGGGGTGTGCAACCTTTTTTCCCAAAGGGCCACTAGTCACGACTCTGTTGGTATGGAGGGCCGCATAACCTTACTATTTCATGTTATTTACTACGGTCGAAGACATATTATGTGAGATTATACTGATAAAGGTAGGAAATAATTTTGTTACTGATTTTATTTATATTGGGATCACAAAAATAAGAATTCTCCGAAACAAATGCAGTACGTGAACCATACGTGTCAGACTCATAGACAGACAGCCAATGATCACTCAATCTAATAATTAAAAATGTCAAGTAATATATTATTTTCTGTTCTAATATAATTAAAATCTGTACCTTAGTGAACGAAATAGAAAAAATAAGGTGATACTGGTACACGAGAATATGAATTTTGTCAAACTTTCGGTGGGCTCTACTTGGTAACTCACTCACTCACTCTCTCTCTCTCTCTCTCTCTCTCTCTCTCTCTCTCTCTCTCTCTCTCTCTCTCTCTCTCTCTCTCTCTCTCTCTCTCTCTCTCTCTCTCTCTCTCTGAGGGCCGCACTATAGTTTATTTATTTTTAGGAGAAAGGGCCGCAATGAAAGCCTTTGAGGGCCGCATGCGGCCCTTGGGCCGCAGGTTGCACAGGGCTGCTCTAAATTCATCCTTTGTCCATTAAAACCATAAATATTAATGGCTTTTGAGGAATAATTTCACTAAAGTTAATAATCTCAAAGATCTCTCTCCACACATACTGTAAGTTTACTCTTTATTACAGCTTTGATTATTATAACAATTCTATCAAGCAACCAGAATACGCAACTAAAATGTCTCTCTGGGTTTATTCGATAATCAGTTGTAACTGAGGCTTTCACGTGGAAGTAAATGACACACAACAACATGGCAAATTATTATTTTTCTCAGCTGCTCAACTACTGTCCTCACCCCCCAAAATAAGGTTCTATTTTGTATCAGCATTGACAGGAGCAAGTTAAAAAATTAAACCAGCCATCAGGTAATATCAATAACAAACACCGAAAAGAAAGCTCAGAGGATCCAGAGCTGTGATAAATCCAGCCGAGTTATTAATAGTTCTGGTGTAATGGTGATAAAATCCCATGATGAACTAATAGGTTGGTAGTTCCTTAGGTAGGTTATTGTAGATCATGACAAGACGATTTGGTTTTGGATTGCTGAATGGTAGGAATCTAAATTTCTGACTTAGTACCCCGGCTTGTGAATGTCCTAAAATTTCTCTCCCGGATATGGACACCTAACTGATTTATATAAGGAAGTGTATAAAGACCAACACTGTTAACATTCTGAACACTTGCACCTTGATCGATATGTGATATGGAACAGGAAATTGTATCCTCTGAATACATTGCTGAAATTCCCTATTATAAGAGGATGAGCCTTGGGTTCTATGAAGCCAGAGAGACCCATTATCAAAAGGATAACTTGGGATGAGTGTAGTAATATAA